GTATCTTAAAGATCCTAATTCTTCCCAAATTGATCTATAGATCCAATACTTTTTCAATCAAAATCTCAGAAAGAATTTTTGTAGAACCAAGCAAGATAATTTACCTAAAATGAAAAAGGAAAGGTCTAAGAATAGCAAGAAGAAGCAGAAAATAAGCAAGTCTCATTATAAAGCTCTGATCATGAAGACAGTGTGATATTGAAGGATAAATAGACAGGTAGACCTATTGTCCGGAAATAGAGTCCCACACAATACACAACTGGTTAAGACAGTGCTGGCATGGCAGATAGATGGGGAAAGAATGGACTTTTTAATAAATGTGGATGAAACAATTGGATGAAATAACTGATGATTTAAAAAAATTAAAATAATTATTTAAAAATTTACCCTTATTTCTTTTTTAAAAATTGAGATGTAACTGACATATAACATTATGTTTAGGTGTGCAACACAATGATCTGATATATGTATATACTGCAAAATGATTACCACGATAAATTTCGTTAACATCTATCACTTCATATAGTTACCGTTTTTTCCTTGTGATGAGAACTTATACAATCTAGTCTCTTAGCAACTTTCAATTTTTTTTTCAATTTTTTTGTCTTATTGATTCTTACTGATCTCTAACTATATACATCTCTATCTATATATAATTTTTTCCTATTTGCTAAATCTCTGCTCATCTTTATTTTTTCCTTCCATACTCTTTGGTTTCTTTTTTCCCCCAACTTTAATGCTTGACTCACTACTTTTAAAGCTTTTTTCTTTTCTAATGTAGGTATTTAAGGCTATAAATTGCCCTCTGAGTACTTCTTTAGCTCATTCCATGTATTTTGATATGCAATATTTTCATTGTTGTTTCTAAAACATTTGTAGTCATAATATGATTTCTTTTTTGACCCATGCATTGAGATTTGGATATATTTGGAGTTACTTCTATTATTTTGTTATGTACTTTTTATTTTTCCAACTTTTGCAGTTTCTTTTTTCATCTTTTCTTGACTTTATTTTGACTAAAGTCTTTTCCTAATTATATTTCTCCATTTACTTAGTATAAGCTATCTGTTCTCTTAGAGGTTACTTTAGTTATTTTAACAATCATACTTAATTTAAAATAGGTAAGATTGTATCTTTACTTTAACCCTAATCACCCTTTCCCTATTTACACGTGTTCGGTTATTTTAGTATTTTAATTTGTTGGCCATTATACCACCTCACAACATTTCTACTTGTTGTTTTTATAGTCAAGGTTTGTTTAGATTTAGATTTACCCACATATTTATTAATATCTTTGCTCATTATTTCTCCTTGCATCTTAGATAATCCACCTGGAATCATTTTCCTTCTGCCTAAATGCATCCTATAAGAGTTTCTTTAAGTGAGGGTCTGTTGGTGGTAAACCCTCTAAATTTTTTTTGTTTAAAAAAGACATTTTTCCAGACAAGTGTCTTTATTTCACTCATGTATGAAAAATAGTTTCACTAAGTCTAGAATTCTGAGTCAAGGGTTATTTTTTTTGTAAGCATGTTGAAATTATTTTACTTTCTTCTGACTTCTGCATTGCTATTGAGAAGCCAGTTGTCAATCTAATGCCATACTTTGCACAGGAAATGTTTTCCTTTTCCCCTCCCTTCTACCCTTCCCTCCATGGGCTGCATTATAATCTTTCTCTAGGATGTGTCTAGATTTAGAGGGTTTTTTTTCTTTGCCACGTGGCAGTGAAAGCGCCAAGTCCTAACCACTGGACTGCCAGGGAATTCCCTAGAATTCTTCTTATTTATCCAGTTTAGGATTATTTTTGGGCTTCCTGAGTCTAAGGATTGGTATCTTCAGCAAGTCTAGAAGATTATTAGCCATATATGTTTGAGTATGGCTTTCCCCCCATTGTCTCTGTTAGCTTCTCCTATAAGATGTGTGTTAGACCTTCTCATTCTGTCTTCCTATAATAATATTTCTTCCATATTTTTCATCCTTTTCCCCCCGTCTCCAGATAATGTCTTTGGTTGAATCTCCCAGTTAGCTAAATTGTTTTCTTCTGATGTGGTCTAATTAGCTATTTAATCCACATTTTCATTGTTAGGAGGACTTTCTGGTTCTTTCCAAATTTGCTTAATTGTTCTTTCTAGTTTATTTCTTGTGTTTTCAAGCTTTTCTTTCATTTCTTTATGTATATTAAATATAGATATTTGATATTTTCTGCCTGATAATTCCAGTGTCTGATTCTGCTTTCCATTATTTCTGCTGGCTTTCACACATGGTATATTTTTATTTCCTTATTTATTTTGTGATTTTTGACTCTGAATTGCTCATTTAAAAAAATGCTATTTTCAGATACTCTTTGAGGCTGGAATTTGTTTCTGCTAGTTTCCTGGGAGCTCTTAAAAGTTAGAACCCTTTTAACTTGATTTCCTTTGAAGATTTTCTGGACCACACATGTCATGGGAATTTGGATCAAAAACTCTCATGAATTTTGGCTTGTAGTTATAAATTCTCAGAGAATGTTTTCTCTTTCACTGAGCACCAAAGTTGAATCAGGAAAGTTTTCTTCCATTCTATTTTTCATGGCAAAATTTTTTCTCATTTATATTTACATTGAGGGTAGAGCTGTCAGTGGGGTTCTGGTGTGTGTGTGTCTGTGTATTTATGTATATATGTGCATGTATGTGTGTATCTATGTATATGTGTATGCATGTGCATATGTATGTGTATGTATGCATGTGTATATATATGTGTCTGTATGTGTGTCTGTATGTGTATCTATACATCTATGTATATACGTGTATGTATGTGTATGTATGTGTATGTATGTATGTGTCTATGTGTACAAATGTATATCTCTGTGTGTGTGTGTGTGTATGTGTGTGTATGTTTATGTGTTTGTGTTTTATAGAACTCCCCACCTTAAGGAGGCCCAGGCTTTATCCACTTCCCTCTTTTCTCTCTGTGGCATCAGAGTGGAAGATAAAGATTTCCTGGTTTTGTAAGAAACTCTCAGCGTGGATGGTGGCCTTGTTGTGTGCTTATTCTTAGGATTCTTGATCTCACTTGGCTATACTTTTTTTTTTTTTCCAGTACCAGCTTAGCAATGCATTTATAATTTTTTTCTTAATCTGGCTTAAAAATTTTTTTTTCAAGATGGTGTTTTAGGGCATCTAATCTGCCACACTAACGTAACTGGAAGTTGAAAAACCATTTCATACTCATTATTTTCTATATCTATTTGTTAACATCAAGTAAAAAATATGAACAAACTGTTCTTCAGTCCTCTGAAATTCTGAAGAAGCTATATGGACTTAAGTTGAAGCAAAACACAATCTGTTCAATTATAAGAAAACTTATCTTGACTTGAAAGCTTCTAGAGTTGACAACTAGAGATCATCAGATATTTATCTATGGAATTTTAAGAAACTGGCATAAATTTACTTTATTACCTTTTACCTACTTATTAGTGCTATACTACTAATGAATTCTATCATGTAATCTTTAACAACCACCTAGTAAGTGTGTGCTCTGGGAATTAGTGAGAATTTCTGATACCAAAGAATCACTTACCATGCTATATTTCCCTCAGCTAAGATTTGAGGCAGTTTAAAAAAATACATTCAGTACAAAAGAAGAAAATTAATCACTGAGAGAATCAGGGCTACAGGTAGGAAAATAAATCTTAGGCTAAGATGAACACACGAGAAGTACATAACATTTTCTTCCCAATATAGGTGGCCTGTCTTTGGTTTTAAACTCTTAACACACATAAGAGGAGGGTAGGCAATAACATGACCTCGTTAGTTTGAGTGTCCTGTTCAGTTCAGGCCAGACTAACCCTGTACCTTCTGAGCCTTTTGGCAACACTGTTGAAATTGCAACACAGCCCCAATGACAAAGATTGGCAGTAAGAAAGTGGCCAGGGAGTATCTTTTATGTTTAATGATAAAAAGTGAAACTCTTCCGAGCTATTGACAACTACACTACTGGAGAGTTGGTTTAGGGCTGGACCCACCTGGTGAAGCGCTGACCTGGATGTGGTCTGGCATGGGGGTGGAGTTTCACTGAGCTTCCAGTTTCTATCAGCTACCAGGTTTTTCCCATTTTGGCAAAACAAGCGCCTTTCTAAACCCTCTGTAATCTTGTGGCTCCTGATATCAGAAGGGCCTGAGACAGGTCTGGGCCCTTAGAAGCTACTATAATAACAGCAGAGAAATCCTGTGTTGGTTTAATTGTTTTAGTCCTGTGTTGTTTGGACCCTGATTAGGGTCCAAATCCATAGGGTCAAATTATAAGGAAACCAGCTAAAGATGTGAAACTTTTAGAGAAGCCTTCCACTATGTATGTTTTTTTTTTTTAACTATTGGAGTATAATTGCTTTGCAATGGTGTGTTAATTTCTGCTTTATAACAAAGTGAATCAGCTATATATATACATATATCCCCATATCTCCTCCCTCTTGTGTCTCCCTCCCACCTTCCCTATCCCACCCCTCTAGGTGGTCACAAAGCACCAAGCTGATCTCCCTGTGCTATGTGGCTGCTTCCCACTAGCTATCTATTTTACATTTGGTAGTGTATATACATCCATGCCACTCTCTCACTTCATCCCAGCTTACCCTTCCCCCTCCCCGTGTCCTCAAGTCCATTCTCAACTTCTGCGTCTTTATTCCTGTCCTGCCCCTAGGTTCTTCCTCAGTATGTATGTTTGCGTGTTGTCAGCAATTCCTGAGCAGGAACAATTTGTGTGTGTGTGTGTGTGTGTGTGTGTGTGTGTGTGTGTGTGTGTGTTCTCACTGTACTGTAATAGGCACAATGAAGGTGTGTAAAAACAAATGTAAACTTCATGGTTCAATTTCCTAAATTTGGGCCTGATCATTTTGGCAAAGCAAATGGGGATAACATTTTGTGTTAGCTCCTCACTTAATGACTAATAAATAAAAAATATTAACTTAGGTCAATATACTGGCTCACAAGTGTGCACTGGGTTTAATCATTCTTTTTCTTTGCTTCAAGGATTTTGACTCTTTCTTCTCTGCAAAAGAAGAGAATATTATTTATTCCTTCCTTGGCTTGGCTCCCCCTCCAGGCTCAAAGGTAAGCTTGAACACCCCCTTGGGGTCCAATATAGGTCATAAGAAGTGAGGATAAAATCAGCACCAACACTGTTTAATAAGTGATGATCTTTAAATTAACATGATTTTAATACACTTCTTATTCTGATGAAGTCTTATGCATAGAGATAATGCATGGTTTCTACTAAAGCATGTTTCGAAACTATGCTTTTATTATTTTTGCTCTGTTTACACCTTGTTATAGTAAGCTTTACAATACCTAAGAAATATCATTACATTCAATAATCTTAAGTGCATTAATTAAATATGTAAAAGTATAAATTCTCAGGTTGTGTCTATGAAATTATTTTGTTATGAATTTCTCATGACAGCTTATGTTAGTTAATTTTATAATGATATGTACTCCTATATTAATTATTTCTATTGAAAATGAATTGAATTTTGCTCTTTTTGTCTGATGAGGAGGGAAAAAGTAAGACTCAAGAACAAGGTAAATTTCATCAGATTTCTTTTCCCCTCTGGTGTTGTTTCATCTTTGATTATGTATAATTATATCAATTAAATAAAGAATTATGCTAATAAAGCAAATACCATGAATTTGAATGTCTGGTGAAGATCACCTGGTTTTATTCCTTACCTTCACTGCATTCCTCACCTCTACCAAGCATCTCATACATGACTCTCCATAGATACAAGACAAGCACACATTTGTCTAATTCATTTATTTCTTAACTAATCTGTTTGTGCCCAGCTTCATTTCAAAAGAGATTTGTGATGACTGAGTCCCAATTAATTCTCACCATAGGAGACGCACACTAAAAATCCTACCTTATAGAGATGGGTGTGTCTCAGAGGCATGTGGATGTGCTGTCTTCCATGTGTCCACATTCTTCAGGTGATGACACCTGAGGTCTCTTAGTGCTTAGGTTAACACATGCAGGTGTAACACAAATTCCTTCTCCAAATGGTAACAGGTAGATTTTACAGTTGGTTAATGTTCTATAAGGGGATAATGGTTCTATACAGGGAAATAAAGGTATTTCCCTTTTAATGAAATATCTTTCTGGCTTTGGTCAACTTAAATGCAACATATCTCATACACGTTATTAACCGTTTAAAAAAGTGCTAAAAGCTATTACATGCAATTTGATCTTTTTTATTTGGTATAGGAGTTTGTTAACTGGGTCACGTTAGTTTAGCTATTATGTTCAAGAGATGGTAACAGTGTTAAGGTATATTTCTTGGTGGGGACACTCAGGTCACTTGGGTCTTGAAGAAGGAAAGGAAGGGTGGAGGGAAGAGTGTTTCAGGCAAAGGTAAGAGCAAATGCAAAGGCCCTGAGGCAGGAAAGGGCTTGGAGACTCCTAAGACCTGCCATGACTGCCCTGAGTCCTGAATTGCCGGAGTGAAGAGGGAAGGGGCACCATGGGAGGTGGCAGCAGCAGGTGGGCGGCCCATGGGCCACAGCAGTGCTCTGGAATCTATCTTAGGGGCCATTAATACACTGTAAGGGTTTTAAGCAGAGGAGTAATTTTATTTCCTTGTCTAGAACTCTTTTTGGCTACAGTGGGATGAATGGATTGAAGTGGTACAAATTACTATAGTAAAACGGATGAGATGTCGTGGTGGCGTGGACTAGGGTGGTGGGGATAGAACAGTACAGAAGTGGATGATTTTAGTATCTGTTTTAGAGGAAGAATTGGTAAGAATTGCTGATGGATTGAATCAGCAATGAGAGGGTTTAACCTCCTTGATTTTAGGACCATCAGATTCTATTTCACAATTTGGTTTCTGGTTCTGTTGTGCTTTGAAGAGAGACTGTACTGTGATGAGTTTTTATCTTAAGTGCATCTTTGTACCCCAATGCGTATCTTCATTTCTAATGAAAAGACTGTTAATTGAATATTAAAATTTAATTTTTATCCAATTAATATGTGTATAATTTTGAAAAGGTCAAGTAGTGCTACAAGGGTTATTACAGAAAATGGTAGGTCCTGCCTTCACCCCTCGTGGATGACTTTTCTGTGTGCTAAGGTGCAGAGCTCCCAGCAAGACATCACTTCTGCTCAGGACTGGAAAGCTGCGGGTCCATATTCTTAGTAGTTTCCAGGGCTGTTGTTGAGAAACCTGGTGCCAGTCTGTCTACTGACCCTGTATTTGTGTCTGTTTTTGTTTTTCTCATTCCTGGGAGACTTTAGGTTCCTCTCTTTTGCTTTGAAGTTGTATGATGAGGTGCTTGGAGTGGTCTTTTCTTCCTTGTTTGTGCTGGGCACTTGCTGGGCCTTTCTGTAATCTGGAAAGTCATGTCCTTCAGTTCTGGAAGATGTTGGAGGTACTATTTCTGTGGTCATTCTTTTCCCATTAGTTTCCATTTTCTTTTCTTTGCTCTTTTTGAAATTCCTCTTATTTGACTGCTGGGCCTCCTGGACTAATCATACAATATTTTGTTCTTTGCTTCTGGTTCTTTCACTTAGCATAATGCTGTCAAGGTTCATCTATGTAGTAGTGTGTATCAGTACTTCTGTTCTTTTTATGGCAGAATGATATTCCGTTGTATGAATAGACCATATTTTATTTATTGATTCATCAGTTGATGGACATTTGGGTTGTTTCCACTTTGGGACTATTATGAATAATGCTGTTATGACATTTTTATCTTTTGTTTAATTTTATCTTAAATATTAGTATTGTATTATAGGCTGCTCTGCAAAAGAATCACTTGGACAGTTTTTAAAAAATTAAGATGCTTGAGTTCTGCTTCAGACCTACTGACCCTAAATTATAAGGGGAGAGGGTCAGGGACCTTCATTTTTTTTTTTTTTTTTTTGTGGTACGCGGGCCTCTCACTGTTGCGGCCTCTCCCGTTGCGGAGCACAGGTTCCGGACGTGCAGGCTCAGCAGCCATGGCTCACGGGCCCAGCCGCTCCGCGGCATGTGGGATCTTCCCAGACCGGGGTACGAACCTGTGTCCCCCGCATCGGCGGGCGGACTCTCAACCACTGCGCCACCAGGGAAGCCCGACCTTCATTTTTAAAAAGCTCTTTGGTTGATTCTGATGCACACTCCTGTTTAACAACCACTAAGTTAAGGACTCATTTAGCAAATATTCATAGATATGCCTCGCCAAAGTGAAGGTGATATCATATTTGCTTTAGTTAAAGAACTCACACATTACAGAGAAACAATGAGCTCACTTTGTTTCTCTCCCCATCCTTGTTTCCCTCGCTCCTTAGGGCCCACGAACATCATGGGTATTTTAAGACTATATATAAAACTATGTATTCATCTCCACAAGCAGTACATGTGTTGTTTTGTATTTTTAATGCTTAATTGGTATCATACTTTTTTGGAATTTTCTGCAAATTGCTTTTTTCATTACGTTTTGAGACACAGCCACCCTAATATATGTAATTCTATCTCACCCTCTGCTCTGCGTCATCTTGTCCCATTAAAAAAATTACCTAATCTCAGATTTTAGATCTCACCCTGGTTTGTGCTTAGGTTTTGTCCTATTGTGTGAAATTCTTTTTGCCTAAGTAGGAGAAAGGGATGGCCATGGAATTATAGAGCTCAGCCTAGAGGGACTTAACATCCAGTTCAGAGCCTTCTCTTCACAAAGGAGGAACTTGAAGCCCAAGAAGTTTAGGTGATTTGCACAAAGATACTCCACTAATTAGCAGCACAGTCCACGCTAGAACCTTTGGTGCTGTCAGCATTTCTCGGGTTCGTAGGTGTTGGTGTGTACTTGGGGCAAAGTCCTTCAAGTATCCTTTGGGAAGACATACACTTGATGATTTATGGAAGCGATATTATTTGTCACAGTATTGTTTTGTAGCAAACAACATGGTGGAGAAGTGTCAGCAAGGAAATCAATCTTGTTCAAGCTAAAAATAGATACTCTTGACTATTATGGGGAAAATGTATGCTTATAAAATGATATTAAGCATTATAAGCAGCATTATTGCTTGTAGAACAGTTTTCTTAGGCAGGCTGTACCAGGCCAAGTACCAGGCCAGTTTTCCCAAGAGAGCTTTGTAAGTAAGCATTGCCTCCATAAAGTCAACCTCAGGTCTTCACAAGTATCTGGTCATATCTGATTCAATGAGCATCATTATTTTATTTTATTTTTCTTATTGAAGTATAGCTGATTTACAGTGTGGTGCCCATCTCTGCTGTACATCAAAGTGACTCAGTTATACACATATAGACATTCTTTTTTAATATTCTTTTCCGTTACGGCTTATCTCCAGATATTGGATATAGTTCCCTGTGCTGTCCATTCAAGTGTGATAGTTTGCATCTGCTAATCCCAAACTCCCAGGGAAAGAAAAGACAAAAGAGCAAAGAATGTAAAATTGTGAAAGGATAGACTCTTCATTAGATGTTATTGGGACAGTTGGACAGTAAGATGTAAAAAAATTGAAATCAAACCACCATCTCACACCATACACCAAAATTAACTTAAAATGGATTAGAGACTTGAACGTAAGACCTGAAACCGTGAAACTTCTAGAAGAAAACCTAGGTAGTACACTGTTTGACATTGGTCTAGCAGTATTTTTTTGGATCTTTCTCCTCAGGCAAGGGAAACAAAAGCAAAAATAAACAAACTGAATGACATCAAACTAAAAAGCTTTTGCACAGCAAAGGAAGAGATCAACAAAACAAAAAGTCTACTTTTTCTCCCACCTACTGATATTTGCAAACAATATATGTGACAATATGTGATAATATCCAAAATATACAAAGAACTCATATAATTTGACATCAGAAAAACAAACAACCCAATTAAAAATGGGCAGAGGACCTGAATAGACATTTTTCCAAAGACATACAGATGGCCAACAGTTACATGAAAAGATGCTCAACATCACTAATCATCAGGGAAATGTGAATCAAAACCACAAAGAGATAGCACCTCACATCTGTCAGTAGGGCTGTCAACAAAAAGACAACAAATAAAAAGTGTTGAGGAGGATTTGGAGAAAAGGGAACCCTTATACACTGTTGGTGGGAATGTAA